CACTTATCACTTACTGATAAGCAAATAAATGATAACTAAATCATTTTCAAATTTTTAAGAGAAAAAAAAAACACTGAAGTACATACCAAGTGTTTAGTTCAGAATTCAATCACCCAATTAAATCAAAGAAAGCCACTCGGTCTTATGCAAACAGCCTTCTAGCTAGAAAACCAATACTATACCATTCTACATCTATGGTATAGAAACCTATTACTGCCCCAATCACCCGTTGCTTGTGCTCCTCCCCCCCTCCACAGGAAGCGGGCTCTGGATTCCCCAGCATGGAGCAAAGACAGCAAGTGCACAAGCAGGCCGGAGCCTTTCCCAGCCCACTGAGAATCACAAAAACAGCCGGTGCCAAAGAAGACACGGCTAAAACGACACACAACTGGAAAAAAAATCCAAAAGGCCAGCATTGTTAAGTGTCGTAAAAACTTTTATAACATCCATTTTGATAATCTAAATATTGAAATAATGGGATTGAGTTTTATTAATACTCGTTTTCAGCCTCCATTAAATGGTTTTAAGTAACACACTACAGTTTATCAAACATAAATATCAGCCTCAAATTCACAAGTCTACATATGTCCCAAAATGACATGAATGAATGTTAGTCCTTTTTCCTCAAGAAGTGCTTAACTGCACAGAAATCCACACCTGGGCAGTGTCAGCCAGGGTGGCGTACTGAGAAATGCCTCTAGATCCAGGGCTGGCCAAAGCTCCGGCCTCCTCTGCCAGCACATCCAAACTTGCATCTCCAACTGCTATGCAAAAACGACAATGAAAAGGGACCCCTAACAAATCTGAAATGAACACACACACACACACACACACACACACACACACACACACACACACACACACACACACACCATCTCCCACACACACACACACACACACACACACACACACACACACACACACACACACACACACACACACACACACACACACACACACACACCCCATCTCCCAGGACAGGGCACAGTTAAATAAATGAACAGTCTTCTCAGCATGTCAGGAAGTTGGTGGATAGCTAACAAGAAATAGTACTAAGAAATCAAACCCTAACTACACCTGCTTTCTGCAAAATCGTATGTGTCTAATAAAGCTATCAAAGGAGCTTGTATTAAATCATTCTGTACAGTTAGAAATTTTTGAAATTGGTTCTCAAAACAGAATTAATACTATTTTTATACTACAGCAAAGAAGTTATTCTCTTCAATTCCAGTAAAGGAACAGAATAGTAGAGGTTAAATACATTAGTAAACATGTCCAAATGTGAGCTGCATTATTTTGCTATCCAAAACATACTTCTATTACAATACAATACTAAGAAAAATGGAGTAAGTACTGAAGATTTAGCCAAAATTTTATTCTTAAATATAGGTTGGAGAGAAAAAAAAAAAAAAGCAGGCAAAAAATAAGGGTTAAATTTTCCCACTATGAACCAAAACTAGAACATGTTCCCTGGAATGCACTTATCGATTTAGCATCAATATAAACATAAATTTAATGACTGTTGTCTTAAAAGTGGTTACCACTACAAAAAATTCAATAACACAAAAATTAGGATTACCAAATAAAAAGCAATTTTAAGGCATAAGTAATTTCATCCCAAGTAAACAGAGAAACACAAAACTGCAGAATTTTTGTTGTATTTTCTTTTTGTTGTTGCTCCTTAAATAAACAGGCCTTTTTCTAATAACCTTTTACTTAACTATACAGCAAGCATCCACATCTTGGCAAATACATAAATGTATGCCACCAAAATGTCTTTAGGGGATTTAAAATATCAGATAGCCTAAAGTGAGAGGAGAAAAAGGGAAGGAGTTGTAACCGTAAAGCACATTTTTAAAGTAAGAAGGAAGGACTGTGTAGCTTACTTATTTGTAAGCCATCTAATGACTTCTTTTTCAATGGTAAATAACCTTGATTATACTGCATTATATTCTATGAAACAAGGTAAAACAGCACAAATGGAATTCAGTGCAAACAGAGTCATCACCAGGCTTGGGTACTCTCAGTATGCTTACACACATACACATTCCAAATATTTATCTCAAAAAAAATCCAGTAGCAAAGTGAATCACAAAATAGCTTATTTCAATCTCTAAAAGACTTTTATTCCTTCAGTATGTGGATATTTTCTTCCCAACTACAAAAAAAAAAAAAAAGTTTCCCAACATTTCCTAAAACCAAAAATGAAACTAAATGTATTAAAAGCCAAAAATTTTTTTTTCATCCTTCAACAATATGACTTAGTATTTTATGACCTACAATCAGGTAGTAATTTCGCATTTTGAACAAATGACTTTCTAGTCTAGTTATCATGGCAATACTGAACAATGCTGGCCTTCCAAAAAGAAAAGAAAATATAAAAAAGGCAATCCACATGCTATCCGGAGGGTACCTACGAGAACTCCTGAATCCAGGTCACATGCCTGTCCTTTTTTCCCCCCAAAGATAAAAAGGCTTTTCCCAAGGGCCACACTGAGGACATAATGGCTTCACTTTCATTCCAAAAAAACAAAATACTTAAAATGATTGGTACCATTAAGAAATAATACTCTAAAGTAATGCGGCCTACATCTGCCTCTAACTTCATTTGTTTACAGTTTACAAATATGAGGATTTTAAACTGCCCCTTTAAAAGCAAGCTGACAAAGCATTTTTTAAAAATAAATTACATGGACTTATTCACATCAGTTTTCAATATTTTTTTCTTGTAGACATCTAAACAAAAATTAAAACCATAAGGTTTCTACCAAAAATGGGAAAGCATTATCATTAGGAGTAAAACTCCATTAACGAGAGATTTGGAAGCAAGAGAATACCAAGAACAATACGTACAATTCCTACGATAACTTGTTAAAATTCAGGCCTTCATTCACCCTCACAAGTCCTACGGCTAATATGTAATTCTTATTTTAAGAAAAACACCTTCCTATAATAAGACAATCACTGCTATTCCTAACTGACAAGTCAGACTGCTTAAAGATGTTCATGGCATTAAGATGTCTAGGAAAGAAAAAATATTTGGGAGCAGCACACCACTACCCAACTTGCCTGCAACACACATTTCCTAATTCATTTTATAAGCAGTTCAAATAAGGCTCACATTATCTAATCTAACAAAATCATCAAGGAGGAAAAAAAACAATCTTAGGGTATTTCTGCATTCTGAGACCAGAAGCAAATACAAAATGACTCTTAGCATTTCACAGGGAAAATGCAGTTTCCCTTTTAACTGGGGGGGGGGGGGGGGGGGGGAGATTATAGCTTTCTCATTTTGTGGATTTTAAATTCTAACTAAAACGCCTCATCCACAGCATCTTAAAATGGCCACAAATGTTAAAACACAAATCACTAGAAATACATGACTCTATTCTGGTTATAAAGCTAATTAAACATCACCAAAAGACACTGTTGCACTTCAGAATCCTGACATTTAAATGTTTGATTGCAGAGACAATCAAAATTTTTTTCACAGTACACTTTGTAAAGGATAGGCTTTCAATAATTTTTTTTAAAAAGCTGTACAAATCCACAATTCGATTCCATCTGCAGTTTAATTACTTCTCAATGGTGGTATCTTCAGCCTACAATTACAAGTCCATGATATATGCAACGTTCATATTGTAAGACTGTCTTCAAAGACCTGGGTTTTGTGAATACCCAATAATGGACACCAGCATGATGTTTTTCTGTCCTTAACCCGCTTATTAATAACTATGATTCGGAACACTTTAAGCCCTAAATAGTATTCAACCTTCCATCTGCTTGTAATAGAGTTCGGTTATTATTTGTGGCAGGAATTTTTGTGACTTGTACAGCTCAGCACTTCTATTTACATCAGCAGTGCTAAATGCCCAATGGTGAGAGGGGAGCCAATCAGATGGCAGATTAGATGTCAACTCAGAGGCAGCTGTCTGGAGACTATTACAGCCAGTTTACCTCCACAATTCAAATTCCAAACCTTGCAAAGGAGATCAAGTCAGTCTTTAGGCTCAGCCTACCAGCCAGAAACAGCCGGCGTGCAGGACCCTTGCTCACGGCGCTGTAAGACTCGGGTGACGGCAGAATAAAGAAAATCCAAATAAATACGATTCCTCCCCCCCCTTCTCCCCCCCCCCCCAAAAGATCCCTTTTGATCGGGCTCCCCATCGGCCTGGATTCGCTGGATCAAATGTATGCCTAACCCATGATCAAAGTAAGTTCGATCGATCGATCCGGCGAGTGTGCTCCTCCAGCCTCGCCTCGCGGTTGAAGGTGACTCCTTTCCCAGCCGCCCCGAGCCCGATCGCGGACTTTCCCGGTATTCTGCGGCACGGAGGGATGGATGCGAGAAGGGATGTCACCCCAGGACGCCGTCCGAGTCGGCCCTGCCCGCACCCACTCGCTCTGGGTGGCCTCGGGAACGAAGGGAGAGGCCCCCGGTGGTCACAAAGCTACCCCCTGTCCTCGGCCTTTCCCTCCGGAGCTCAGCTCTGCGAACGGCGGCCCGCGGTGGAGGGAGAAAGTTCCTCCCCCGCCGCTCGGCCCGGCCCGGCCCGGCCCGGCCCTGCCCTGCCCTGCCCGGCTCGGCCCGGCCCAGCGCCGGCGCGGCCCGAGTGGCTCCGGCCGGTCACACACATCACCCGCCTGGGGGACCCCGAATCCAGCCCGCCGCCCCACGAGGCTTCCCGCGGGTGGGGCCCGGAACACCTCGATCCCGTCCGGGCCCCGGGGGCTCGCGGTGGCGGCGAGGGTGCGGGGAGGAGGCGGGAGGGGGGGCAGGAGGAACCCCCAAACACCCGGCCCGGCCGAACCCTCGCGGCCGGGACGGCGAGGGGGAGCGCCAGGAGCCCGGCGGGAGAGGCCGCCGTGGAAATGGCTCCGGGCGCCGCGCCCCCGCCGCCCCCGCGAGCGGACGGGAAAAGTACCGGGCGAAGAAAGAAACTCGGGCTCGCGGCGCGCCAGGCCCGGGCGGAAGCAGGCCCGGCCGGCGCGGGGGTTACCTGGGATCGGCCCATGGTCGGTCCGGGGGTGCCGGGGCTCATCGCCGGGTGACTCCTTTGTTGCGCGGCCGCCCAGGCCGGGCTGGCGGCGGCGTACTGGGCGCCCAGGTCCTTGCCCAAGCCCAAGCCCGCGGCCGCCTGCTGGCCGCCCGCCGCCGCCCCCGCCGCCGCCGCTGCCGCCGCCGCCGCCGCCGCCGCCGCCTGGGACTGGGGCTGCGACGGCGGCGGCGGCGGCGCGCTGGGGCTGCTGTAGTCCGGGTAGCTGGCGCCGTAGCTCCGCATCATGGGGCTGGGCGAGGTGAGCAGCTGGTTGAGGGTCGGGGTGGCCCCCGACGGGTGCTGGTTCTGCCCGGCGAAGCGCTGGAAGCCCCCCGCCGCCGCGCCGGCGGCCGCCTTGCTGAGGCTCGCGGCCCCGCCGCCCCCGGGGCCCATCATCATGCCGCCGCCCTGCTGCCGGGGGGAGCTCAGCACCCCGTATCCCGAGGACGAGCCCCCATAGCCGCCGCCGCCGCCGCCTCCCGCTGCTGCTGCTGCCGCCGCCGCCGCGGCCGCCGCCGCCGCCGCCACAGCTCCCGCTCCTGCTCCTCCTCCTCCTCCGCTGCCTCCTCCTCCTCCTCCTCCTCCTCCTCCGCTGCCTCCTCCTCCTCCGCCGCCGCCGCCGCCGCCGCCGCCGCCGCCCGCGCCGGGCCGGCCGTAACCCGGATAATGGTTGTACTGGCTGTTGGGGTACCCTTCGTGGGAGTTCTGCAGGGGGTCCATGCTGCCGGGGGTCCCGGCGGCGGCGGAGGCGGCGTGCATCATCCCCATCCCGGGGCTTTGTTGTCCGCCATGTTGATCAAAGCAAGGCCCAGCGCGGCCGCCGGGGCCGCCGCTAGCAGGGGCAGCGCTGCCATAGTAATTATTAAACTCCGAGACGGCCGCCGGGCCGCCGCCGCCGCCGCCGCCGCCGCCGCCACCGCCGCCGCCGCCGCCGCCCCCGGGCACTGCGACCGGCGGCTGCTGCGCGCCCAGGCCCGGGTGCTCGTAGCGGCCGCCCGCCGGCTCCCCCATCTTGGGCGGCGCGTCGTCCTCGTCGGCCGGCTTGCTCGGCGGAGGCTGGCCCGGGGGGTCGGCCTGGCCGCCCGCGGCACTGTCCTTGGCGCCTCCACGTTGCGGCGGCTCCATGTCCGGGCCGGGCGGAGGCGCGCCGCCCAGGCTGTTGTTGTTGGAGATGGGGAGATGTTGCTGCTGCTGCTGTTGCTGCTGCTGCTGCTGCTGGAACTGGTTTAGCTGCTGCTGGAGTGCGTGGTGGTGGTGGAGGTGGTGGGCATGGTGGTGGTGGGCATGGCGGGCATGGTGGTGGTGGTGGTGGTGATGGTGGTGGTGGGGCGGTGCGGCGGGGGCCTCGCCAACGGCTTTCAGTTTGTGGTTGGGGAGCAGCCCCGTCTCCATGGCCGAGCCCGGGCCCGCCGAGGAGGAAGAGGCCGAGGCCGCCGCCGCCGCCGCCGCCGCCGCGGAGGAGGAGGAGGAGGAGGAGGAGGAGGGGGAGGAGGAGGAGGAGGAGGAGGAGGAGGACGGCGCGGCGGCGGCGCTTCCACCCTCCTTGAGAGCCGCCTCGGAGCCGCCGCTCTGGGCGCTGCCGGTGCCCGCGGCGGCGACGCTCGCGCTGTGGGCCATGCTCAGGTCGTGACGGGGGTGCAGGGGGTGGGGGTGCACATTATTCAGGCCGCCGTCGCCGCCCCCCAGCATGGGTCCCGGGGCCGCCGCCGCCACCGCGCCGCGCGCCACCGCCGCCTCTGGGTCCCGGGCCCTGGGCGCCCGCCGCTCGCCGCTGCCCGCCCGCGCCCTGGCCCTCACCGCCGCCGCCGCCCGCGCGGCCATGATCGGCGCGGCGTGGCGCGGCCCGGCGGGGGGGAGACAATGCCCCGCCGCGGGCCGGCGGCCCCTCCCGCGCGCATCCACGCGGCCCGCCGGGAAGCGCCGACCCCCTCCCCCGCGCGGGCCCGCCGAGCGCCGCCCGGGGCCGCCGCGCCGCCCGGCCCGCGCCCCCCCGCGCCCCCGCGCCGCGCCGGGGAAAGTTTTCAGCCGGGTTTGAAGCAAACTTTTTTTCCGCCCCTCTTTTCCCTCCCTATCCCGGATGTGGGCGAACACTCTCGACCGGCAGCGCCGACCGGGCCCGGCGCGGCGAGGGTGGAGGCGCCCGGCGAGCCCGAGCCACCGCGAGCCCCCTTCTCGCCGACGGCTCCCGCGCACTCGCAAAATGCGGACTGGACTCGGCCCCCCGGCGCCGCCGCCCGCCGGGGCGTCCGCCGCCCGCCCGCGCCCCAGCGCCCACCGCCAGCGCGGCCTCCCCGGCCGCCAAGGGCGCTCGCTGCGCTGCGGCGGCGTGGCGCGGCCTGAGGCTGCTCTTTCCCCTCGTGCCCCGGTCTCCTTGCCAACCGGGCGATCGTGTGTTTGTTTTCACGTCTAAAAGGAGCGCGACAAAGGTGGAAAACGAGCCTGACGCGCAGACAAAAGAGGGAGAAAGGCCGGGGAACAAAGTTGTCTCTTGGCCTCCGAGGCTGCCTGGAGCCCGCGACCGTGCCGACGCGCTCCCTCCCCGGAGTTATGTAATTCCTCCCCGGTTGGCCCCGCCGCCCGGATTCCGGGCCGTTCCCACCGCGCCTTCCAGCTGCACGATCCGGGAAGTACTTAGCCTCGTTCTGGGTGCTGCGCCCTGCACGCGGCCGGTGCTCAGCACTGCTCCAGCCCCGGAGAGAGTGCGCGCGTAACCTTGGTGTTCCAGGCACCTCAGGTAGGTATGAAACCCAGAGGGTGCCCCGGTGGAGCCCACCAGGATCCAAACAAGTTCACACGCCCCTTCGAGGACAGCCAAGCGCTGACCCCCGTCTCCATAGTTCTGTGTGATGACACCTTCCAGCGTGTGAACTGCCCTCTTGGTAGCTCATTTCGAAGTGATGGGAAACAAAACCAAACAGACATAGTGAATAAATCTACAATCTATACGAAGCAGTCGAATCTAATCCTCCAGCCAAAGAGGAGAGAGCTCCTGCTTTGTCCCGTCGTGTTTCCGAGGGTAGTGTTACTCTTATGAAGTTACCGTTTTGCATATCTAATGCAGCCAGGCTCCTCATCTTGACCCACTAACCCGTGGCGCCCGTGTCCCAGCGGGGACTCACCTGTCGTTGCACAAAATGACGTGAAACCAGAGGTCACTGGCAGAAATAAGGTATTTTTTTTTTTTTAAACTAGGGCTGAGAGCCGAACCCACGGCCTTGGGCGCGCCAGGCGGGCGCCCTTCCGCTGGGCTAAACCCCCATCCCCAGAAATAAGGTATTTGGCACCGTGGCCTTTAGCTAAAATCATTTTATTCGTTAGCATTTCTTGAAATTAGTTTACTTCAACGGCAGTGGCTGTTTGCTAGGCCAAACCTGCCTATGTTGCTGGACGAAATGAAACACTTCCCGTGTGCGACGCGGTGAGGGGCGGCGACCTCAGGTGCACGCTGAGGTCACCAGGATCATAGAAACAACAACCCGCAGTTCTATGCGGACAACTGGAAAATGGTGCGTCATCACACCTCAGAGGATAGCGGAACCACACGATGAACCTGGGCCAAATCAATCATTTAGTTTTTGTCAAGAGAATCCTACATCTTCCTTAGTGTGCCTTTTGGACATTTTTCCCTAGATTTTCCCTCTACATATTCAAATACATACTAATTAGATGCAGTGCAGCACATAAGTTGGATTTTTAAAGTTCTTCATGTACAAATATAAATATATGTCTGTTTTGTGTATGTGTCTATATCCATATATCCTAAAATCAATTATGTATGCCTTGAGATATTTATAGTCAAGCTAAATATGTACATAGAATCATAAAAGTACATTTGTTTTCAAATTGATGAAATATATCAAAGTCAGTTCAGACAAGTGTAGCCATATGTTGTGATTTATTTTCACAACTAATCCTAAAAGGGAAATTGAGTCACCAAGTTCAATTCTGGTCCTTTTCTTAGAAATATCTCCTCCATGTCACAAAATTGTGAATCCTAAAACACACACACCAAACTAAATACATGAGTGAGATTTTTTTTGTAATTCCATTTGCTTCAGCAAGTCAACCAGAAGATCTGAACCAAGAGGCAATGAAAGTGAGGCCCTGTTCACAATGCAATCAGCCTGCTCTGAGAGGCACCACATGCCAGTGTCTCCTCCCCGATGGCAGATGCCACACCCTGAAGCCGACAGAAGGCTCTGCAGCCTGCTGGAGGAACACAACAAAGCCAGCAGGACTTGGTTTTGTCTTTTAAGCCACAGTGGATGCTAAAATAGCCTCTTCAGAAGCATCTTTGCTAAAGACAGTGACCTATTTACCCAACTTTCCAACACACCTTTTCAGGAAAACAAAAATCACTTTTAAAAAAATCCTGGGTTTCTTAAAACAACCATGTCCGGTGCCTGTTATAAAATGATAAAGTAAGATAGATCACATTTCACGAAAGTCCATTTCAACTGGGGGCTTATGGTGCCCATTGAGAACCCTGCCCTCAAATGTCTTATCTGAGCCTTATTTGTTTCTATTTGAGTAAGTAGACGTCTCTTGGCTCACTTTTCTTAATGAGTTTCTTAATGTTACACCTCTTGCCTAAATTTCAAACCACAGTGACAACTTAATAAAAGTTCCCCTAACCACCGGGAAGGCAGGAAGGTGAGGGACCAAGCTGCCTGTGGCCCGGGTTTCTGATGGCAGCGGTGACTGCCACCGCCCGCTGCACCCAGGCACAGGCCCCCTCACAAGTTTGTTCAACATTCCTTCCTGCGTACAAAAAGGATTTCTTTCCTTCTTTCTTTTGGACTATTTGGAAATATTAATATTCAAATGCTGTTCCTTTTGAATAAGTTTTAGGGCACTGAAAAGAGGGCTCTTCAAGTTGCCCACTGAAAGGACGGAGCCAGATGGTACTCTAAGAATGCCACAGTTCTGTTCATGTTGCCTCTCGCTGGCCTGCACACTGTTTGCTTTCAAATTAGCCCCTCTCGCTGTTCTCACTTACTCCATGACTGAAGCGATCACGACTGACTGCCCATCATATTTCTCAGTATTCTTTCTGTAATTTGGAAGCAATTTAGAATAAAGCCCTGTCAAGGTTTTACAAATAAGAACTATTAAAGAATAAGGCTTTGGATACTTGCTTTGCTTTTAGATTTATGAGAAATGCGATGAATGGAGCTAATGGGATTTCCCTACTGATCTTGGTCAGGGACTTTAAAAAGCACTAAACAATTGTCCCTTTCACATCTCCGATTTAGACGTTAGCAGTGAATAACTCAGCCAACACATGATAGGGGAGACAGCATTTGATTGGAAACCATGTAAATTATCACTGGCCTATATAGTCAGAATACAGAACAATTCAAAAGTATTTGGGAAAATCAACCAAAATAACAAATACATTTGGGAGCTATGGCAAACCAAGGAAATTATTGCAGGCACAGTAAGCAGGATGGGGGATAATCTACACTTAAATCATCCACCGAATTTACCTAAAGTGCTCTGTGCCATGTCCTAAGGGTCAATGTTACCGTGTTTCTGGCCTTAGTGGAGGAGATAGACCATGAACAACTGCACTAAAACCTGCTGGACTTTATCCTTGAATATAGAAGTGAGCTCAAAAGCTGGAGCCTCACACCTATAATCCTAGCTACTCAGGAGGCTGAGATCTGATAATTAGGATTCAAAGCAGCTGCTGCAGAAAAGTCTGTGAGATTCTTATGTCCAGTTAACTGAAAACTAGAAGAGGGAGGTATGGCTCAATGCTACAGTGCCAGCCTTGAGGGAAAAAGCCAAAAGAGCAGGCCCTGAGTTCAAACACCAGGAAACCTGCATGCTGTTGGTTCCACCTTCCCATCCTGCAGCTATGCCTCACCTGCCTGCCATTCGAGGGTGAGTACCTGACCCCAACCCTCAACCTGCACAACTCTAACTTCCTATCGAGGTCTCGCCACCTGTAAGGCTGGACTTCAGAAATTAAAGTCAAGCTTATCATTACACCGCTGCGCTCTGGAAATCTCCAGAAACACAGTAACCATGGCGAAATTAATGGAGAAACACCTTATTGCATTTGGAAACATGGTACTTTTATCATGAACTGTTCACATTTTGAATGGTATGTAACAACTATTTTTATTATGGCCTTGTTTACAGCCTTCCTATAACTTGTAGACAAATGCATATTGGATGCTATTTTCTTTCATGTTCATTATTCCTCTCATTTTGCCATCATGCAGTAGCCTACTAATGCTTCTCAGCAATCTTTCCTAGCAGCACATCTGTGATCCCACCTGCTGGCTGGGTGTGGGGGTAGAGGCTGAAGAAAAAGAATGGCAGGTTTGAAGCCAGCCTGGGAAACTTAGTGAGATTTGTCAAAATAAAGTTTAAAGGGATGCAGGATATGACTCAGTGG